TGCCCTTGACTCAGCAGTTCTACTTCTAAGAGTCAATGCCATAGAAATTCTTGTATAAGTGTGGAAAACAGATGTACAAGGATGTTAACTACAGCATTTTTCCACTGTGGCATTGTTAGAAAGTGACCCAAAACCGAGAACTATATAAATGCCCTTCGGTGGTGAAAGCTTTCGTAAGTTATGACACACCCATCGTACAGACCACTTTACAACTTACTAAGAAAGAGCGGAGATGAACAGACATGTACTGACCCAGATTGTTGAATGAAAAAAGCAAGCTGCAGAACTTGAAAAGAAAACATTTGTTCTTCCTCTGCGTGTGTTATTAAAAATGTCTACACGTTAAACTTAATAGTGGTTACCCTTGGAGGAAGGGAGATGGGGAGGATGAGAGAGATTCCTTCTCTTCTGTGCTTCTGGTTTGAATCTCGACAATGATGATACATTGCTTTTGTAATTAAAGTATTATTTTGAGAAAGACAAAAACAAGTTTGAGGCCTATTTCCACCTCTGCTCCTTAGTAGCTCCTAATTTTAAACCAGGAGTTCTCAACCAGGGCAGTTTTGTGGGCTCCCCAACCCCGCCTGCGGGACATTTGGCAATATCTAGAAATGTTTTTGGTTGTCACATTGTGTGCCGGGGGGGCACGTAGTGGGCAGAAGCCAGGGGGTGCTGCCAGACACCCTGTGGTGTACAATGCAGCCCATCTACAAGAGCTGTCCAGCCCAAGGTGTCAGTAGTGATGAACTGGGAAATACTGGCTTAGACTCCACGGCTCTAGCCATGTTCGAATATGCAGCCTGTGCACCTTACAATATCGGAGAGTGCCAGTCACGTCGTGGAGTGTTCTCTGCACAGCCATACAACTTTTTAATTATGATACTATGAGAGTAAGTAAATATGCAAATTTGTGCCTAGGAAGGCAGGCACCAGAGTTTTCTGCTTTACCTGTGCACCTGGCACAGAGGCTGGCACAGTAAGCAGCCACTCAACATTTGTTGACTGAACGAATGAATGAACTGACCTCGATATCACATATTAGGTTCTAACACGTCCAGATTGTAGCAGATGCTAAAGATTTAAGAAGAATTTAGGGAAGAAACTTAAAATTATAGCAGACATCTGTTAATTTTTCCGAAGATTGACAAAAGACTGCTAATATTTATACTTAGCCGAGGACACCTCGGTTGACTTTTTCTAACACTTCGATAGAAAATTACGATTCTTTATAGAAGAATGCCAGTAGAGGACAGCATTGCGTCTTATCTTCAGAGAACTGGTTTTTAAAATCCTTAGCTATCTATTTAGTTACATACTGAATTTAGTGGAGAAAATATTAAAAAACACTTTAAGCTACCCAGATACTACCTAACATAGTAAGATACTTTATTTCATGTTTTCTACACAGCAGTGAGGCTGTGTAGATAATATTTATTAATATTCTAGAATGAATATTATTAATATTCTAGGATGGAAAAATTCAAACATACACAAAAATGTTCAAGTGTAAGGAATTGAAGAGTTCATTATACTTTTAATAATTATAGACATTTTGCTAACAGATATCCTTACTTATCTAATTTAGAAAATTGTGGCACATGGAGGCTAGCAGCTAATTAGTGGTACCAAGTATTCAAAGTAAGGTTTTTAGCTTTGCGGTTCTGTGTCCTTTCTTAATCGCCATACTAAAATTAAGGAGCAAGGCTACATTTCTTTGAAAATATATGTGGTTTCCCTAAATGACTCGAGAGTGAATTTTTTTGGGTAAGTCATTCTCCTAATTCTTCAAACTTGAGACAATACTATAGTAATGATAGTCAAAGTTAAAATTGAATTTGTAAAACCCAAATTTCAATCTCTCAGAGTATTCATGACATTGTACGTATTTATATCTTTTATGTATTCAATTTAGTTCATCTCTCATTATTTATATTTTTAACTACTTTAGAAGAATGGCCTCGTTAGTTTTTTTTTTTCTTATCCTATTTTTGGTGTGTTTCACTGCTTGGTTCCCTTTGTTTTTTTGAAATATGTGACTTTTGTGCTATTAGTAGCTTGATATTCTAATTGTTATTATTAGCTCTAAGGAATAGAGACTTGAGGAAAGCTTTTTACTGAACAGTCATTGTACTGTGTAGAGAGTGCCCAGTGCCACAGACAGGTCCTTCCTTTGTGTTCTACAAGGTCCGTTTCCTTGATCTGGAGGGGGAGGATCTTTGTTGAGCTATAGGGAAGTTTTAGGTAGAAATCGGCAGCTCTGCAGGCAGTGATAGCTTTCGTTGCAATGCATTTGCGTATATGCCTTTTGAAGTCTGTTACTATTAGATTAGCAATCATTTGTAGATTAATAAGAATGATCCTGTGCTGGCATTTACATGCACGATTTTATTTAATCCTCACAATAGCCTTATTAGGTAGGTATTGTTTATACCAATTTTACAGAAGAAAAAACTGATACCTAAAGAAGTTAAGTAAGTTGCTTTCAGGTCAGACAGTAAATACGAGAGGCTGGGTGGAACCCAACCTGCGCAGCCGGCAGGCCTGCGTCTGACCCGGTATGCTGCGTTGCCTCGCTGCGTACTCAGCCTGCGTGAGGCAAGGCCTCCATCCTCAAGAAGCTGAGTCTCCTGACTCATAATCCGTGATAGCACATTTGTGCAGCCTTTGTGACTGTTGCTTCACAACCAGTGATGACATTGAATTATTAGAGGTAAATAGGAATTGTCAGATGGTATTGACTCATTCATTCATTCATGTATTCATTCAACAAACTGAGTTCCTACTATGTGCAAGTACGTGGTTAGCTGCTAGGGTTATAATAATGAGTAAGACACAGTACCTGCTGCCAGTAGTTCACACCATAGTCGGGAAGATGAATTTTAATCCCATACATCCGGGATTGTATAAGAACACTCACTTAAGGAACATGGTTGTATGCCGAGGAACCTCGTGGAGACTTTGGGGGCACTGAGTTGAGATCTGAAGGATGAGCGAGAATTAGGTAAAGGGAGAGGGAGAGCAGCTCAGGGAAGAAGAACACTCCTCCCAGGAGGGAGTAGTGGGTTTGTTTTAGAAGCCGAATGGTCACGCGGCTGGAACCCAGAGCAGAGGGGAGAGCCACACCTAAGAGGCTGGAGGAGGCGGACCAGGCAGCATTTGGCCTAAGCATTTGGTCCGTCTTTGACAGTGGAAAGCTCCGGAAGGCTTTTAAGCAAGGGGGTAACATCGGATGTGTGTTTTGAAAAGATCACTTGGGTGTCTGTGCAGAGAACCAGTCGGAGTGGGGCTGAGGGGCTGCATGGAGATGGCTTAGGGTAGTGGGTGTGCTCCAGTCCCGATGAGAGATGCAGAGAGCTTGTGCCGGGATGGTGGCAGTGAGTTTGATAAGAAATGGATACATTTAAGAAATATTTCCGAGGTAAAATCAACAGTTGGACTGGATATGTGTGTCGTGTGAAAGATGACTCCTAGGTTTTTAAATTGTGGAACTAGACAGGTGATAGAACCACTCAGTGAGATGGGGAACACTGTGAGGGACCAGCTTGGGGAAGATCATGAATTTAGTTTGTACGCGTCGAAGATATTCACAAGGCAGTATCCTAATTTATCATTTTATTTATATCTTATCTACTTTCTTCCAAACCAGACTTGAGGTGGCAATTCAAACTGGTATTTTCCCCCTAAGGCAGGAGGTCCTTAGATGATATTTAAAAAACATTATATTTGTTATTTGTTATCTTCGAAGCAACCTTAAACTTTTAGGATTTCAGAGGCCGTGCAATTTTAAATAGGATTAGAAGAGAGGGAGTGGTTCAGTAATGCTATTTTAACTTGAAGCTATAAAATTAACAACTTTTAATGACTCTCTGGTGTATAATATCCTAATCGAATTGAAATATCTCTAGTGCTGTACGTTTTGGAATAAGGAGACTTCAATGGAAGTCATGGCACAAATTCTATGGTATTTATAGATTAAATATAGTGTCTTAAATTGCCGAGGGAAGCGAGATAGACATTCTTGAGGAACACGCTGCACTACTGATGCAGAAACAGGCAGCCACAGAAAATCAGGGACTGGGATCCCTGCAGCTGGACTCACCAGGAGCTCTACGAGCTCTGCGTAGAGGACGCAGTGCGTGAGAAGGGATAGTGCGTGTGCACAGAAGTGCTAACTTTCCGTCAGACCGTTTCTTGTAGGTCGGAGGACCATCGCCAGCTACTGCAAATCCCCGTGGGTGTATTTTATGATAAGTAAGCCGGTGGCGTTTTAAGTAAATGTTTTTGCTTTGCAAAATCATAAGTCTCGAGTAAACGTCATGCTTGAATTTCACACATTTCACATTTCCTTAATGGAGGCTCAGTCCGTACAACACCAAAAACTCATTTTTTTGGAGAGGCTTATTTAAGCTCAGTAGAAATGTAAACATAACTGTGATCACAAATATAACCAGTCTTTGGCTATGGTATCGAAAACTTTTAAAATTTTGTCTTTCTTTTTTTAAGTCTCAGGCCGATAGGTAGTTTTTTACAAATGTATAGCAAATGAAGGCATAAATCTGAATTATTTATTCAATACTTATATGTATATTAAAATCACATGACTCAAAGCACATTTTATGTTTACAGTTGATAAATGAACTTTACTTCAGTCTATCTGTTTTCTAGGTTTGAAGTTTGATGACAAGCAACCACCGACCCTGGTAACTTAAAAGCTTTTGTTACTTAGATTTTCAGTTACTCTGTACTGAGTACTCAGTACTTCTTGAGGAACTCAACCGATTTCCACAGGAGCGATTTGATTTAACTAAGAAATACATCTGAACCACAGTGTCCATTATTGATTACAAAAGTTTGTTTTACTACTTCATTTTAGAAGGACTGGTAATAAAGCCTCAGTAACGGCTCGGTTCATTAACAATGCCAAACTTTTTTTCGAAGTGCAGGTAATTGGTGGGAGAGAAGCCAATACACTAACTTTTAAAAATTTGTTATACAGGATTAGCTGAGCCATCCTTTCTTGCAAAACATGAAGATACCTTGTTAAAGGATTTACTTCGAGACTATGAGAAATGGGTTCGTCCTGTGGAATACCTGAATGACAAAATAAAAATAAAGTTTGGCCTTGCAATATCTCAATTAGTGGATGTGGTAGGTGTGCATGTCATTACCTGTTCAGTTTCTCACTCCCGTGTAGTTAAAACTGCTCCTTGGAACCTCAGCGTGTGAACAGTGATGGCCATGCTGTGTTCTCTAGGATTCGTTCTTCCTGTGTAGGGACCTCACGGCTGCCTTTGTGCTAGGGATGTACCTCCTTCCGGCCTCCTCCTCCCTTCTGGGTCATTCACCTATTGGGATGGGTGCCCTCCGGTCCCCTAAGCTGTTTATACCCCTGCCCTCTCCCCAGCCATAGGGACTGCTCATACTTCTGTGGGTCTCCGTGCTTAGCGCTGTACCCTACACGTAGCGTACTGTGGTTGGTGATTGCGATAGTCTTGTACTGGTTCACTGGGCTCCATGATATTGCAGTAAAATTTAATGGAAGAGATAGCACTTTATTAGGCCTTGAAAATTCAGCAAAAGCCTGGCATACGCAAAGATACGACAGCAGAAAGGCAGAAGTGGCAAGTACCAGGGACCCCTAGTACCAGGATGTAGAAGCTTAACGAAGCTGCCGTTCGTGACTGTGACCTCTGTATTTTTTTCACATAGCAGCTCCACAGAGATTCGAATCTGTGCCTAGGCAGGGGCAGGTAGCTCCAGGTTACAGTAACTTCAGGTTATAACTCCGCTCAGGGACGCACAGAAACGCCGTATATCAAGGCTTCTAAGATGCGCACTTGCCTTCATTTTAACGCTTCTAAAATCAAGACGTGTTTCATAATCAGTGGCAGCTTACAAGCCACTGTCAGCCTTGTTCTTTCTTAGTGCTAAGCACATAAAATAATGGTGTGCTCACTTCTTAGATTTTATCTCGGACATAAGGAAGTATAGTGGTTGAGACTACAAATGTTAAATCTCAAAATTCCAGTAGTGTACTTTAGGGCAGTTTATCTGAAATGCAGACTCTGTCGAAAGGAATAATGTGATGTTAGGCCAGAAAAGAGATCCTGCTTTTCTAGAGAACTGGACTGACGGACAGAATGTAGGTACTATATGGAGAGGAACGTTTGTATAAAAGTGTGAAAATTTTTACTTAAACATTATTATATCCGTAAGAGAAATAGTCATCCTTGTTTAACTTTTTTATTTTATAGGATGAGAAAAATCAGTTAATGACAACGAATGTCTGGTTGAAACAGGTATGTATAAAGTTCAAAAGGCCACCAACTGGTGACTGGAGCCACTGTTATTTAGAGTTTGGTCTTGGTCGCTTGGCAGGATGCGAAAATGAGGGAGATGGAGTTCTCGTGTTCACTCAGTTGATATTTGAGTGACTGCTATATGCCAGGCACGGGGAAACGGCAGTGAACAAAGCACAAATGTCCTGCCCTCAACTTCATCCTGCTGGGGATAATAAACAAGAACGTTGTATAGTACCCGAGAAGCTAAGCTTCGGGGAAAGTACATTGGGAAAGGGGATGGGGGGTGGTCAGGGAAAGCATCACTGAGAGGTGCTGTTTGGACAAAGACTTGAAGGGGAGAAGGAGCGAGCCATGTGACTATGTGGGGGAGGGGTGTTCCAGGCAGAAGGACCCACAGGTGGAAGGTCCTGAGGCTGGTGTGTTTCAGGAGCAGCAAGGAGGCCGGCAGGGGGTTGGGGGTGGTGGTTAGAGGCCAGCGAGCCTGGAGAGGGGCGTCGGAGACGCGGAGACGCGGTCAGGGAAGCCGCCCGAGGCTGGTGCTGTAGCAACCCGTCGACTACTGCAGGGATTTTGGCTTTTACCCGGCGTTAGGTGGGAACAGTCTGTGAGTTACTTGTATGGACAGAGCCCCTTTTATATAAAGGACTTCTTTTTTTTCTGGGCTGTCACACATATGTCCTCCGTTACTGTTGAGGGCTTCTCTTTGTTTTTTTTCCTCCAGTATCCCTAACTTTTAATGCCTACTGCCAGTTTCTGAACCCTAACTCCTAAAAAGGCATGTACGCTTTTCTGGGGGTACAGATCTTAACTCGACACAGACTCGTTACCATGTACAGGTTGGACAAGGCATTTAGATAACGTGGGATGTGTAGTAAATCTAACTGCGCTCTGTATGGACCGGTCCGGCCCATCAGTGACCATATGGTTGTAAGAAAGGACGTGTCCCTTGAATGCGGGGCTTAGATGCCCGTGACTGCAACTCCTGGGCACAGTCAGTGGTCGGAGAAGGAATGCTGGGCAGAGCCACGCGCACTCGGCCTGGTCCCCACCACGCCTTGCGAGGACCGTGGCTAGAGCAGTGCACGAGGACGGGGCTGCTCCGGGGCCACAAGGAAGATGTGAGGTGATTTCATGTCTACACTTTTTGGGCTTGGCAAAAAGCGTACAGTTTTCAGTATTTTTGACAATTAATTTGATTGAAATCCAGGCAGTTTTCTTTGTTTTAAAGGAATGGAAAGATGTAAAATTAAGATGGAACCCTGATGACTATGGCGGAATAAAAGTTATCCGTGTCCCTTCAGACTCTCTCTGGACCCCAGACATCGTTTTGTTTGATAAGTAAGTTATAGTCAAAATATCATATATATTTTCAAAAGAAAACACTTGTATTTCTTTCAGGTACCAGTAATTTTTCTTCCCTTTGAAAATCGTTGAGCTATAAAATCAAATGACTTGATCTTACATTGTTTGGTTTCATGAACCTATGAATGGGTTCTGCGGATCTTCTTTCTTTTTAAGCGTATTGTTTCCCGATCATAAAAATGTTCTTTGATTTCTAAAATTCGCAAAACATTGGCAAGTCCAGAAAGATGTAATGAGTCAACCCCGTTATCCAGCACTGGGAAGAGCGACACGCTGGCGCGCGCACTCTGCCTGGCGTTATGCTCAGTGCCTTGTGTGCTTTATTCATCCACGTCTCTCAGTAACCTCATGAGTGAAGTTCAGTTACACCCATTTGATGGATGAGGAAACAGAGACTGAGGGCAGTTATACCTTGTCCAAGATCACAGCGCACATGTGGCAGGGTGGGGTTCGCACCCGTGGCAGCCCCGTTTACCCTCTTCTTTACTGGACTCCATGTTTCCAGGTTTTTTGGGTGTGTTTTTAAATAGATAAACTCATACTTTATGTTCAACTGTGCATCCTTCTAATTTCGCTTAACTACTGGATTATAATTATATCTTGATGAGGAATGTGGCGTTAACGCACCCTTATAGGCATTCTACTGTGTTAGGATGGTTTTTAGCCTGGAGAGAGCATAATCCTGGGTGCCAGTTTCATTTTTTTCTAGAACCACTCCAGGGCAAATCTTGGAATTCGTGCTTATCCTAAAGCACTTTGTATTATTTGCAAGAAGGCATTTGGCATGAAGACAGAGCAGACGCTATGCACAACTGTCTTTAGTCTTTTAAAACCTTTTACTTCTGTGCTTCTCGATAAGCAAAGGGCAAACAAAGCTGTAAAGTAGCGTGATGCGGCTTCCTGGAGCACCCTTCTACTCTGTCACTGAAAACATTTGTGCATTAAACATGGAGATACGACAGAGTAGTGTGCAGAAGTCACATGAATTTTAAGATACAGACATTTTTAAAGACATCTTCTGTTGATAGGCGGCTTCCGCTACGTTCTCTGCTGTATGAGCTCCTGTGGTGGGAGAGCTTGGGGGTACTGCCGTTTGTCAGGCCTGTGCCCAGCTTGGTGCTCATGTTCTTTTCTTGTCACTGCAGAAGTACCGTGTTTGTGACGGAGGGAAGAGCACTGTGTGGGGAGTCCAGGATTTGGGTTCTGGCTCTGTGCACATCTGTCGTGGACATAGCCTCATTATATTTTGTGTATAAAGGGAAATCTTTTTAACCATTGAAATCTCAGGATTCTGTGAAATTAGAGCTGTCAGCTCCGGGACAGGCATCTAGTCCTAGTAGAGCTAGATACGTAAGAAGTGCCCTTAAAGCGGAGTCCCCTCTGTGAGCAGGACCATCCCATGCGTGCTAATCGAAACAGTCTTTCAGGCTGTGGTATGCGCTTTCTTTTCTATTAGGCTTCTAAAATGCACTGTTCTTGTGTGTGTGTGTCTGTATTTTAGTGCCGACGGACGTTTTGAAGGGGCCAGCACGAAAACGGTTGTCAGGTACGATGGCACTGTTACGTGGACTCCGCCGGCCAACTACAAAAGTTCCTGCACCATAGATGTCACATTTTTCCCATTCGATCTCCAAAACTGTTCTATGAAATTTGGTTCTTGGACTTACGATGGATCACAGGTCGACATAATTTTAGAGGACCAAGATGTAGACAAGAGGGATTTTTTTGATAACGGAGAATGGGAGATCGTGAGCGCCACGGGATGCAAAGGAAACCGGACGGACAGTTGTTGCTGGTACCCGTACATCACGTACTCGTTCGTCATTAGGCGTCTGCCTCTCTTTTATACCTTGTTCCTTATTATCCCCTGTATTGGGCTCTCATTTTTAACTGTGCTCGTCTTCTATCTTCCTTCAAACGAAGGTGAAAAGATTTGCCTCTGCACTTCAGTACTTGTCTCTTTGACCGTCTTCCTTCTGGTTATAGAAGAGATCATACCCTCATCTTCGAAAGTAATACCTCTCATCGGGGAGTATCTGGTATTTACCATGATTTTTGTGACACTGTCGATCATGGTGACCGTCTTTGCTATCAACATTCATCATCGTTCTCCCTCGACACACAACGCCATGGCTCCGTGGGTCCGCAGAATATTTCTCCACAAGCTTCCAAAACTGCTTTGCATGAGAAGTCACGTAGACAGGTACTTCACCCAGAAGGAGGAGACCGAATGCAGTAGTGGACCAGAACCTTCTAGAAACATATTAGAAGCCGCACTTGATTCTATCCGCTATATCACAAGACACGTCACGAAGGAGAATGCTGTCCGCGAGGTCTGTGCCAGTTGCATTTACAAACGCAGCCTGCTTCGACTCTGAGTGTGGCAGACCTTTCTGGTCTAAGCAAAGGGGAGGGCCAAAAATGTTGACATACATTCTATAAAAGATATTTACTAAAATCTGTTGTTCCAGTTAAAATGTTCACAAAACGGGGCAGCTACACACATCCCACTTCTCAATTTCCTTGGTAGGCTTTTTGGCGATTTTAAGGGAAACTTCGCGTTGCACTGACTGTTCTGTTACTCTGAGGAGTAATAGTCCTGCCGTGCGCTTTGAGCCTCTGGTGTTCAGGGCTGGTCTCGGCCTGCTCTGCCTTCGGGTCACCCAGACTTGCCCAGTTGGCCCTCGCTCAGGCTGCAGAAAGCGGGAGGAAGTGAGCTTCCCGCAGCAGATCTGTCCTCATGAGCTGAGATGAAAATGCTTCCTGGGGAATCCAAAATTTAATAAAGAGGTCGAAGCGGGCGGGGAAGAAAATGAACAGCTGTCCAATAGGTATTATTCTGAACCAACTTTTTATTTGGCTCGAAGTTAACCTCAGGCTGGATTCTCTTTAAAAATTAAAATAAGTTAACACTGCTGGGCAAGAATAGTAGAAATAACTGTAGTAAGAATGAAAGTTTTGTTTGTTTGTTTATTACAAAATATCCACAAAATATATTCTAATTTTTATTAAAAAATCATCAAAATAAGCCACTTGTAATATATTATAAATCGATGTGTAAATGAAATGGTGTAGTGTCTTTGAGAGCTCACAGAGGCCTTGTCTTAACAGGGTAGGGTCTGTCCCCGAGCTCTGGACACAGGGTCATTTACTGTTTCTGGGCGTCAGTGGGAGGCACGTACTGTTTTGGCTTCTAACTCAGTGTGTGATATCTTGAAATGATTACACAATGTTAACTTGTTGTTTTTTTTTTTTTCAACAGGTTGTCGAAGATTGGAAGTTCATAGCCCAGGTTCTTGATCGGCTGTTTCTGTGGACTTTTCTTCTGGTTTCAATCGTTGGCTCTCTTGGGCTTTTTGTTCCTGTTATTTATAAATGGGCAAATATAATAGTTCCAATTCATATTGGAAATGCAAATAAGTGATACTTCCCAAGGGGTCAGAGTAGGAATTTAGTTACCAAAAAGCACATAACCTCATGGCACTATACAATCATGAAAGTGTAAATCGTGTTTAAAATTTGATGCAAACTTTAACAGATTAACAGTCGCTCACATCAGTTTATCTTAGTCGATTGCCCATTAGAACACCTCCCTGCATGACTGAGTAGTAGCTGACGGGATACCATCGAGTCTAGCAAAATATTATCTGATCTGTACTAGTAAAACTCTAATGTTTGTACCCTGGCTAATAATACTAATTTGTAATCAACAGTGAAAGTTCATCTTTTGATGTGCTGGAAATTCCTGTTGTATTTGAAGACGGACTTCAAAAGTTTTTCTGCATTCGGTAAAGGTACACATTCTAAAATTCTTTATCCTGTGTTCACCGGGTAACAGTCTTTAGTATAATATACTGTTATATTCGGTAAGTTGACTACTTGGTATGATAATGATTGAGTATGATGCTGATTTTCTACAACCGACATTTTTAAAAAACGAAAAATGGGAACTAGGAACTCTTTTAAGGCTTTCTTTAATCTTCAGATGCTTAAACTGAACAATTATTATATTATTTTTGTAGCTTACATCCCATTGTGAAATCATGCAACAGACAACCCCTGTGGGCATGCAGTAGCATCTCCTTAAAGTTAATTTCAATCCCCTTGTCCACATTTTTCACAATTAATAGAACCATCTTCTATATAAATTATAGTAGCGTCTCTTTATCCTTGATCTTCAAAGAGTCCGTGACAATTAAGCGAATCCCGTTTTAAAAACATGTCGATAGATAGCGCTAGATCGTTCTGTGAGAAAACCATCTTCGAGGTTAAAGATAGTATTTTAACTGGATATAAGCACATCATTTTACATACAAACGTTTTACATAATGTTTCAATTTTATTTATTTTATTCCAACAATTAATCTTAGACTATTACTACTCGTTCAGTACAGTATCATGTATCACAGGTAAACGAGTTAAATCTCATCTCTAAAGGTCTCTGATTCAGCTATGACCAGGAAGAAAATGCCAATAGAACTCTTGCATTCTGTTTAGAACTCTGAGCTCTTGAGAGAACAGATGCCTCATTTATTTATAGTATGTAACCCCGTCTGAGTGCAAGTCAGTGCTCTTTGGAAGGCGGGGGTGGGGGGGGCATCTTGTCTTATTTGCATTTTATTGCAGGCAGGTGTTTAGTGCCATTGAATGAGTGAAAGTCTGGTTCGGTGTATTTAAGTTGCCTGTTAGCTTTCATAGCATGTTACATCCCTAATCCCTCTTATGTCTCCATTACTGTTACTTAAAATTTTCATAAGTAAATAAATCTTATACGGATCTTCCCTTTGCCAGTATCATTCACTTTCAGAAATGTAATGGGATACTCTTGATAACTTGTCTCAAGCAGGGGCGATTTTGCCCCTGAGGAGACATTTAATAATTTTTGGAGACATGTTTGGTTGTCACGACTGGCAAGGGATGGGGGAATGTTACTGGCATCTCGTGGTCGAGGCTAGGGTGCTGCTAAAGATCCTACAATGTACAGGACATTACCCCACAACACAGAATCATCCGGCTCAGAACATCCCTGTTCTAAAGGTGCATTTAATGACACGTGTGACTAGGCATACTTTCTCGTAGCATAGTAATTGAGAATTGTGCGAAATGAAGCAGTTAGGCCTTTTACAATGGCGACATGGTCCTTAGACTCCCCTGAAAAGCAGTAAAGACTAAGAAGTGCATGGTAGGAAACGGTAGCAGCGGGGTATTGCCGAAACCGTATAAAATGTCACGGCGATTATGGGCGAAATAAGAAAAACCACTGAAATATGTCGTGATACTGAACCAAACGATTTTCACATTTCTGAACAGCAAGTTTTTCTATCTGGTTATGTTTCAACCACTGGAAAAAAGGGAAACGGTTTTCATATTTAGCCGCTTTTTACATGTGCACGGCATACTACTTGTCACTGGAGAAGAATTCTATTTTGACATTTCTTTACCTTACCATAAAGGCTGGTTAAATGTTCATTTATCCATAATAAATACTCTTGACATTTTTCTTGCATGAATCTTTCTGGACAAAAATCAAGACAACCGGATAACAAGTAAACCTTGAAGTGCCAAAATACAAAGCCAGCAGCTTGATGATAGAAAGTGTGTTACCATTAAGAAAGAGCCTAAAACAATAAAACTCCTATCAGAAAACAGGATAAATGCTTTGTGATATTGGATATGGCAATGATTCTTGGATATAACACAAAAGGCACATATAAAAAAGAAAAAATAGACAGCTTAGATTTCATGAAAATTTAAAAATTCTGTACATCAAAAGATACTATTTTGATGTACTCTGTTATAGTAAAAAGGCAACCCGCAGAAGGGAAGAAAGCATTTGCAAATCGTATATCTGTAAGGGAATAAAACCCAGGAAATAGAACTAAAACTTAACAACATCAAAAACACAGTTCAAAAATGGGCAGATGACTTGAACAGACATTTCTCAAAAGAAGATATACACATGCCAATAAGCACATGAAAGATGCTCGACATCACTAATCATTAGAGAAATCCAAATCAAAACTGCAACGAGATAACACCTCACCCCATGAGGATGGCTATTGTCAGATAATCAGAAAAGTGTTAATAAGAATGTGAAGAAACTAGAACCCTCGTGCACTGTAAAATGGTACAGCCGTGGTGGAAAACATGGTGGTTCCTCAGAAAGTTAAAATAGCATTACCATATGATCCAGCAACTCCACTTCTGGGTATATGTCCCAAAGAAGTAAAAGCAAAGTCTCAAAGAGATATTTGTATCCCCGCGTTCGTAGTAGTGTTTGCCATAAAAGTTGAAACATGGGAACAACTCAAGTGTCCATCTGTAGATGAATGGATAGCAAAATATGGTCTGTATAGACAGTGGAATATTACTCAGCCTTAAAAAGGAAGGAAATTCTGCAGTATACTACAACATGGACGAACTCTGAGGACATGCTAAGTGAAACAAGTAGTCACAAAATAATAAACACTGGGTGCTTCCACTCAGATGAGGTCCCTAGAGTAGCCAAACTCAGAGACAGAACGTGGATTGGCGTTGCCAGGGCCGGAGGGAGGGGAGAAAGGTGAGTTACTGTTTAGTTGATACACAGTTTGTTTTGCAAGATTCAAAGAGTTATGAAGATGGATGATGATAGTTGCACAGCAATAGGAATATTTAACACCACTGAACTGTGTATGTAAAAATGGTTAAAATGGTAAATTTTATGTTAAGTATGTTTTATCACGATTAAGAAAAGGAAGAGCTCCCCCTCCCCCAATTTGCCTCAGACGGATGCACAGTCAGTGCTTAGGCATCATCCCTGGCCATCAAGGGCTGCAGAAACAATCCAGCTGTCCCTAAAATGCACACCAGGATGAAAACCCACAGAAAAATACGATCAATCACCATGGCAACATACTTCCAGTCATCTTGAATCTGAAAAACAAAAACACAAATTTTGAAAGAGGAGAAAACATGAAGGAGATGTCAGCATGAACACATTTTCAATGCTGAACATTTAAGAAATACATTGTAGCGGGGCAGCCATTGCTGCTGAAATGCAAGAAACTTTTTTTTTTTTAATCATTGTAGTCTGAGGAAATTTACCATTCTCAAGTTTCTCTTCAGGCACTAGAGAAATAGTATAAAACGTTTGTCATGTTAAATCTGCTTTAATCAGAAATTTTGTAACATATATATATAATCCATTTTTTCTAAGTTAAATTCCAATTTATAAAGTTAGTAAAGCCAGTTAGTTGACTTCCACCTCTGCGGAGGATTCTGGGCTTTTGTTAGAGTAGCTAATACAATCCAGCAGCATGTATCTTTGTTTCAAAGTACTAGTTCTTACCCAGTTTTAGATACTCATTTCCTTTTAACATCTATTCTGAAAATGAGATCAGCACATCAGGACAAATCCATCATCACTCTTGGTCTTCCACTGCACCCCACCTCCCGCCTCAACTAACCAAGTATCATCTTCAGTTATAAAGCCAAATATTGTGGAATTCAGGACGGTTATAGAACAGGCTGAACATCAGAAATAATTGCTGATAATAAGGTAAAAGATGGTAGAAAGAGCAAGACTAATTATATATAATAAGCCTTCAGTTGAGGCTGGACGTCGGAAGGGGGATTACATGTTAATTATACTCCTAGACAACTCAGAAAGCAAGGAAACAGTAATTGAATTGAGAAAGAGAGAACCAATGAATCAACTGATTTGGAAGAAATAATCGCATAACAAAGAGGCAGCATGTGGTTAAGTAATTGAATTGAGTGACAGAGTGGGGCTGGGAGAAAGGATTTATTTCCCCACGATGAGCTGGAGTCACTGCGTCCTCTTGATGACACTAAGGAGTCAGAGGTAAAATTGGAATTATAATGCTATATGTGTCACAAGGTACTTTATTGGAATTCCTGAGATTTTGTAAGTGCTCCTAATACACAGCAGACCCTGTGAGTCTCTTCCAGCCTCTATGGCCGAACCATAGGCCTGGGAGGCAGGGGTGGGAAAGCGGAGGGTTGGATGTGGACTTGACCCCAGTCCCAGCTCCGCTCCCCTCTAGTCCTGAAAGTCTGGGTAAGTTACGTGACCTCTGTCAGCCTCGGTTTCCACATCTGTAAAATGGGATAAGAACAGTACCTACCACAGAGGGTTATTATGAGAATTAAATGAAACGATGTATCTGACACAGGGTCTTTAATCAGTAATACCTATTGATGTTAATGCTGATTAAAAAATGACCATTACCCAAGTATAAATCTCATTCCGACAGCAACTCGCAGGGTTTAGTCTGGTGAAGAGAGGTGGGACTTGGGTCTCACACATGAATACAAACAGTGCCGCAAAAAAGAGCTGGATGAAAATTAACGTCATGTCTAACTTAAAGTCTTTAAGGTACAGTGATGTTGGCCATTCTCTGGAAACTTTGGAACTAACGATGAATAACAGATACGTGAGTTTAGGCAAAATGGTGAACTAGCGCCAGCTCCTGGCTCCTCCTAGCCCAGCCCTAGAGATGTCCCAGAAGACCATCAGGACCTGGGACTGTGCCACCTGGTGAGTGCGCTGGGCTGTCAGGGGAGGGCCTGGGGAGGGGAGGACCCGGGAGAGCCTGGAACTGCGCTCTTTCTCCCAGCCCGCTCCCAGTAGGGGACTGTCAGTTCAGACGCTTTGGAAACCTTACCGTATGTCCTAAATTTAAAAACACAGCTCTCCAGTGAGCTGGCAGTCCCACTGGTAGGTATACAGTTGAGAGAAATGAGTGCATATGTTCACCAAAAGACATGTAAGAATGTTCGTAGCAGCTTCATTCGAAGTAGCCCCAAACTAGAATAAGCAAAGGTCCACCGACTGCAGAATAACCCGAGAGCAGTACGGTCATATTGTGGAATAGCGTACACCAGTAAAAAAGAAACAACCAGAAGGACAAACCTCAAAGACATTTTGTCGCATGAAGGGAGTCAGACATGAAAGAGTTCAGACCGTGTGACTCCATTCGTATGAAGTTCAAGGATCAGTGGTTACCGAGAACGGAGGGAGACACCGGGAAGGGGTGTTGGGCACTTTCCGGGCTCCGGAAATGTCCCGTATCTTGACTTAAATCATGGTTACGTGGGTATACGCGTAACGCAAAAATTCATCTAGCTGTGCACTTAAGAAGTGTGCTTTTATGTAGATTATAACTAAATGAGGAGACACACACACGGTAGGAGAGCAAAATTAAAAATCTGACCTGAGCTGATCGATACTAATTGGGGCTCATTGCAGTCTATCTCCTGATCAGCTCTCCTGGCCCAGATCGCTGCGGCTCAGTGGCTAACTTAGGGAACCAGATGCTTACACGCGCTGTCACACTGTTTTACAGATGAAGGGGCAGGCTCGGAGAAGGGAGGCGATGTGTCCAGGGACATGTAATGGAGGAACTGGTCTGAACACTGGCCACTGGCTCCGGAGTCTCGTGTCCCACCCAGCCCTACGGCTTGCCCCACAGGATCCAGGACATGTTTGCTGAGTGAACGAGCAAGCGGCTTATTAGCACGTCCTTACCTCTTTGGCTTCATTTTGTGCTTTCATATTTTCGGCAATGTACTTGACGCTTTGGATGGCTTCTTTGATTTCCGGTGACAGAGTAGAGAGGGACAGCATGGCGTCGACAGATTCGGAACTGGAGCTTCTCGTGAGGTTGGCACTGAAGTTTGAGATTTTCACCCTGCGGTGGTGGCAGTGGCCGCACGTCCCGTCTTGGCAGGGGTGGCCCTCCTTGCAGCCTTTGGGCTCCGTGCGGCCGAAGCAGCTCAGGCTGGCAAGCTCGGCGCTGTGCAGGGGTCTTGGCCTCTGACCATCGCCCTCGCTGCTGGCCGGCCTGGTCATGAACATGATCCTAGGGAGCAAGTTCAAGAATACGGTCTTCACCCACGTGGGCATCGTGTGCGTGGTCGGGGTTCTGTAGTGCACGTTGAGTACAAAGACGGTGATGACGATGGACAAGGTGACAAAAATCATGGTGAACAGGAGGTACTCGCCAATCAGGGGGATGACCAGCGACGTGGACGGGATGGTCTCGGTAATCACCAGGAGGAAGACGGTCAGGGAGAGGAGGACCGAGATGCAGAGCGTGACCTTCTCGCCGCAGTCGGACGGCAGGTAGAAGACGAGCACGGTGAGGCAGGAGATGAGCAGGCAGGGGATGATGAGGTTGACGGTGTAGAAGAGAGGCAGGCGCCGGATGTACAGCGAGTACGTGATGTCGGGGTAGATCTCCTCGCAGCAGTTGTACTTGATGTCGTGCTTGTAGCCCGGCGCCCGGATGATGGCCCACTCGCCGCTCTCCCAGTAGTCCTTGAGGTTCACGGAGGAGCCGATGAGCACCAGGTCGATCTTCGCCTTGTCGTAGGACCAGGACCCGAACTTCATGGTGCAGTTCTGGTAATCGAACGGGAAGTAGGTCACGTCGATTTTGCACGAGCTCTTAAAGATGGCTGGAGGGATCCAAGTCACTTCCCCTGTGTACTTGAGCAGCGCTTTGGTCTTGTCGTCCACCTGGAAATCCCCAACTGCACTGCGAAGACAAAGAGGGGGCGCGACGGCCCGCGGTCACTACCACCTGGTCGTCCCGTCCAGCTCGCACGCACCGGCAGGTAAACGGTCTGTAAAACCGCGGAATCCGAGAGCTCAGGGGCCGAGGCCCAAGACCCCTCCCCCCGCAGGGTGGCACACGTGTGACCCCTGGGCGTGTCACAGTTCATCTCACAGCATACAGGGCCTGACTTGGTAGTGACCTAGACACCCCGCCGCCAGGAGGGGAAACTCTCCCCTGTAAGCAATAAAATGGGGTGAAAGTCGTCACTGGGGATTTCTTACATGTCTGCATTCGAAGGCATTCATGTCCTTTAAAAGAGGAAAACCGCCAAACCCGTGTGTCTGAGAGCTGAGAAAACTTACCAGCCCCAGCATTTAGGGATATCCTCGTGCTGTTGTCCCTATACAGGGACGTGTGAACACGGAAGGGACATGTCCGCTGCACGTGTCCTCACCAGTCTCTGGCCTCCCACCCGCCGGTGCGTCTCCTGAGCAGGATGATCGTTATGTGTGCAGACTCGATGCCAAAGCTGGAGATAAGCTTACCTCGGGTGCCGGTGCTCATTTCTGCTATCTTCCAGGGATCCTGGTCACTGTGGCTGCTGCCCACAGAACCCCTGGCCGGTCTGCCCGGATCAGAAGGCCTCTCTGCTGACCGGGGCGGTGTCAGCAGCCTGTCTCTGTCACCGGGAGGCAGGGAAGATGACCTGGCTGGGGACTGGGGTCTGAATAGCACCGGCCACGGAAAGGGCACTCGGTAAGTATTTGTTGACTGAATGAATGACCAGAAAGTAAGATCTCACCCCAATGGGCTGCCCAAGAGATGGCTGGCAGCAAGGGACAGCAGAGGTGGGAGGGGTCTGAGCCAACGTGCTGCCGAACTGTGCGAGTTGGTTACAAGAAGGAAAGGCAGGGCGGCTGCGAGTGACGAGCTTTAAGGGAAGAAGAGGTTGGACGTGGAAGCGGGAGGGGGCGTGAGCGGGA